GGGGGGGGGGGGGGGGGGGGGGGGATCTCTGCCTGGAGGCCCCTCAGATTCCCTCTTTCTGGCACAAGAATGCCGGCTATTTCCTCTCTGAATCCCAGGAGAGAGAGCCATTTCCCAACAGCTTCTGCTCTCCCCCCTCAGCCCACTCCCAGTCCAGCCACGGAGCCGGTCAAAAGACGGCCCACGAGGAGGAGGCCCCGAGAGCCTTTCGGGACTTTTTAGGAAACGGGATGCGAAGGAGGGAGGGGGAGTCACAGCAGCCCGGGGAAGATGACCGGCGTCCCAGGGGAGGCCAGGCGCACATGCCCACATGCGCTGCGGGAGAAGAACGCCAGGCTTGGACTAGCTGACGTCCTCCCCAGCGGCCAGGGGCCCAATCCTGCCGTTCAGCTTCCGAAGAGCTGAGGCTGGAGGAAGAGTTCCCGAGGACGGCACGCCTGTCGTGAGCTGCCGCCGCCGCTGCTGCTTAGGAGACCGGAGAGGGGGAAAAGGCGCTGCCAGGCCCCTCCTGGCCTGGGGCTCTCCTCCGACCCACCGAGGCCAAACTCCTGTTTCCTCAGAGCGGCTGACGAGATGCCTTCGAGAAGCCCGCAGTCAGGACGAGAGGGCTTCCGGGCTATACCACTCCTGGACGCAGAGGAGGCTCCTTCCTCCCGCTCCTCCTCGGAACCCGAGGCCGAGGGGTTGAGAGGAGAAGGGAGAGGGGTGCCCACGTGCCCAGAGGGACGGGGCAGACCCACTTGGCGTGGACAAGCACCGCCCCGACCTACAGGAAAAGAAGCCCGACATCGCCGCACACAGCACCCTGGGCCGGCCGCGGACGCCCTGCGTCGCCTTCGCCGTTTGCACAAATGCCTGTCGACGTCAAGCTCAAGGCTCGCCGACCGCAGACCCGCCTGGAAGGCGAGCCGGAACCCAGCTCTGCCTGGCACGGAGCCCGCGCCCCCCGACCAGCCTCCTGAGGGCGGTTCCCTTTTCCAGGGAAGGAGGAGTGGAGCAGAATTGGGTCCCGTTTCTTGGCAGAGATGCCGGACTTCATTTCAGCGAGAGCTGTTTTTGGGGAGGGGGGGCTTTCCCAGTTCGACGCCATCAATTCTTTTGCTAAGTCAGGTACTTCATCTACTCCTTGGGGAATTCAGTGCAGGAACACCCCCCTCTTCCTCATCCACACATAGACACCAGCCTGCTTTATCACGTCTTTTTAATGGAACATATTATACCTATATGGAGAAAAATACATTTTTAATCATTGTAGGCTTAAGGGGGTTCAGACAAGGGAAATGAACGTCCCAGTTCGCAATGGTATTTTATCTCATTTGGGCAATGTTTTAAATAATTGGCCATATTTCACTGTAGATGCTTGGTGGAGTTCTGGTCCCACCTTAGGCACAAAGCCAGCTGGGTGACCTTGGGCCAGTCACTCCCTCTCTGCCCTAGGAAGGAGGCAATGGCAAACCACTTCCAAAAAACCTTGCCAAGAAAACTGCAGGGACTTGTCCAGGCGATCCCCAGGAGTCGAGAACTGACTCAAAGGCACCAAATATATAGATATGCTCCAGACAACTGGGTGACAATGTTTCTAATGTTTATAAATGTTTGGCAATCATGGCCCAGGGGCTTGAAGAGGGCTGGGAACTAGTTTTCACATGAAGGAACTTTGATAGAGACCATATGCACGCGCGCACACACGCGCACACACACTTGCTTAGCATGGTGACATCCCAATTTCCCTCTTCTTGGGAATTCTCCTGCAGCTTCTATTGCCAGTTCTCCTTCTGATGGACGAAAGACAACTTGCTTTCTGCATTTCTCTCAAGAGAGAATTTTGCAGAAATTGGCCTGGGCAGAGCGTTGCGTCTTTGCCCTTCTCGGGTGGTGAGGTGGCCAAAGCAAGGTGTTAAGGCCCTGTCTCAGCCTCCCTGATGGCTTCCCAGTGGCATCCATTCATTCCAATGAATCCCAGAGGAACGGCTGTTTCAGAAGGTAGAAGCACCCAGGGAGGTGAAGAGCAGGGGACGGTTCTGCCGCCAGCAGCGATAAGCGGAGCGGAAAACGCCCCAAAGGGAAATTCTCAAGCCCCCTGAGAATCAGATAGAAAAGCCAAAGGCCCTTTCATGACTTTTGAGAGCTATCAGCACAGCATCATCTTCATCGCAGAGGCAGGAGTGTTATCGTGTGATAACGGAACAAACCCACCAAGTGCGTTCACCCCTAAAACGATTGCCCTGCCCTCTCTTCTAAATGCATTAGAGTAAGCAGCCAAAATGGGCCCTCTAGGAGTTTGGGCATCTAGCCACAGGGGCTGGGGTGGTCCAAAGCACCTGGAAGGCGGAAAAGGTCTGTAAGGTCACTTACTTTGAGTTTTTATCAACATGGTGCCTGCCTCATGTTTTAATGTTTACAAAGTCCTAGAAGAAGAGGCGGAGAGCGTTCACAAAACACTCTGGGGGCTACCCCGGTTGGGGTTTAGCGTGTTGCAAACTGCCAGACATTGTCCTTTGTAGCCCCCTTTAGATTATCTCCTTCAAAAATGCTCTTGAAGTGTAGCAACTGCAGAGAACCTGCCAAAGAGGGTCAGCCCTCCCAAACCTATCCCAGATAAGTCCTCAAAGGTCTCGGCTGCCTAAATCACAGATAAGGTTTCCTCTTGGGTTACAAGGATCACCCTGGGAGAACCAAGGTGGGAGGAACAGTCATAAATATCAGCAGAACCTTTACGAAGAGGCTGGGAAAAACCAAGGAGGAATTTTTGTTTCAGACATGTTCTCCTGTCACCCAGCTTCTTCAAGGCTTGTCACAAACCAGGTAAATCTTACTGTAATGCTTACTAAAATATTTTTTCTAGTTGGCCCAGAAAGATTAGCACCTGGAAATCTGAAATCAAAGTCCCCCATCAAAATATAAAAATTAATTTTTAAAAACGACCTAAAGCCCCCCACCCCCATAACTGAGTTTAAAAAAAAAAAGCCCAGAAAACATTTTCAATGTGTTTAAATGCCTCAAAAATATGAGGCTTCCCTCTCCAGAGATTAACAATTATCTTGGCAGGTGAAGAACTTCAGGATTCAACATGCATAAAAATCCACCTTTGTTGGGCTTCATTCACCCATGAAAGTCCTCAGTATCTTCCCTTCCACACTCAAGCGTCTGGATGTTTGTGAACCTTTAAGAGGAATAACTATCAGAGATGTCATCAGATTCTTCCCATAGTGGGTTCTCAATATGCATGACTAAAACAGGTCCTGGCTTTCTTGAGCAATCAGATCTTCTACAGCATCTGGAGAACTTAGAGTTAATGGTTCTCAGAAACCAGATCAAAAAAACCTTGGACTGAGTGGTGGGATCCATTGCATATTGTTGTCATTGCATAGCTGGACGTTGTACTTAAAATCCAAAGTCACATTGGCCATTCTGCAATTGTATGGCAAGCAGTTCAAATTTCAAAGCTGATACTTGTTTTGAATCAAAGGAAGAGATTTTGAAAAGTATGTATAATGTGTCTCTTAGACAATGAGAAGAGGAGATGAGAAGCTAATCCAAGTTGGGATATACAAGTATGTAGCATAAGCCGCTGATAGAACTCATGAGGTCTTGTTACAAAGCATCTTGCCTGGATCTCTCATCCCCAAAAACTGGTACCTTAAAAAATAAATCATTGAAAATGAGTTGCAGGAAAAAATGAGTTAATGATTGGTATAAGGGACTGGACTATTAAACAGAGTGGAGCCTAGACTTGCTTAAAAAAAAGTATATGTGTGAAATAACTTCAAATTTGGCCCAGAGACTGTCTGACCAACAGTGGAGAAAGAAAGATTTGGATGACTTCATGATTGGTAGAAAGGTTGACCAGTCAGCTCTGCACACAACCTTGCTCCAAAATTGAGGATTGACAAGAGTAGATGCTTCCACAAAGGGCTCACCTCAAAAATCATGTATGTCTGTGCAGAGTCATATGTTCTCCCTGAAAGTGGGAAAGTCCTGCAGGTTTATGGTAGGAGGGTTCCTCCAGAATAATCCTGGAACCACGCTGAAGACCATGTGTTTTCAAAAGGTCCTCAGATAAGTTCTACCTTATATACGCAGTGATATCTGGTTGAGTGGCTACATTATGACATTACAGTCACTCAGCTTCCCCTCCCCAGATGTGTTTAGCAACTCTCATCACCTCCCTGGGCATGTTGGCAGGGGATGATGGGAGTCATGGTTTGCCACATCTGGAAGGCACCAGGTTGGGCATGTCTGCGTAACTGAAGAAAGTCCATTAAAGCAAAACCACAGGATGGTGCATCTCTAAGGGGTTTCTTAGCAAGGGAGGTGGCGAACTTGTCTTCTTTACACGTTACGTAAAGATCTGCTGCTCTCCCCTCCATTTGAAAAACAGATCCCTGTAGATTTAATATTATGAACTGTCACCCCACGGATGGGAACTGAGCCCATTCAGTTTTCTGAGTCTTCTGTGGGGCAAGTATCAAGAGTCAGTGGACTGCCCAGCTCCTCCTTCTCACTTTCTGAGACACACGTGGCAGAATTCTCAGTGGCTGGAGACTCCTTGAACTCTTCGGGAGGAGATGGATTGGTCCCCACCATAGATGGGACATCCTCTTTGGTCTCAGCATCTACCAAATTGTTTGGAGCTGATGTCTCTGGAGGCACCTCAGCCTCATCTGGTGATTTTTCTTCTTCTACTTCTTCTCCTTTAGAACTGCCATCTTCCACATCTTCTGCTCTTTGGGCCTCTTCCTCTTTTCCTTCAGTTGGTGGCTCTTCTACAGGGGTGCTTTTTCCATTAGCCACAACGAGCTTGGTTGGAGACTTGAGGTTTTGGGCAGCAGCTAAGATGTCAGCCTGCAGTTGTTTGGTGGAATCAACTGGCTCCTCTTGGTTGACATCAGATGGCTTTTCAGGAACTTCGCTGAAGGCCTTGGCACCCCCTGACTTGTCATTCTGATCCACGTACTTCTTTTTTGGAAAGGATGACGGGTAATAGGCTGAGGCCTTGTGTTTCTGCCGAACAATGACAGCCGCACACACAATGGAAAGGAAGATGAGGATTAGAGAGCCCACCACGATGATCAAGAGCATGTACGTTTGGAAGAAGTCCACAATGCCATCCAGGATGTTGAACGAGTGCAGTGTTCCATTGACTGAACTGACGACAAGGCTTCCCGAGGTGGGGCTGGTACTCAACGTCACCCTGGCGGAAGGTGAGACTGAGGCAGCCCCCTCACTGTCTCCGCTCCCTTCGTTGTCTTCCAGGACCAGCTTCTCAATAGATCTTGAGGCACATAAGGGACTCATCAAGAGAACAAGCAAGCAGAGATCTTGCATGACCGCCATGGCAGGGCTCAAAAGACCGCACAGGTTTCTGAAAAACACAAGGTCACACAAGGGATCTGTCATTCTTCACCGGGTTTTGAATGAAACAACCCTCTTTCTGGAAGAATTCCTCTCATTTCCAGAACTGAAAATAAGTTCAGGGCTAAAGCAATCCAATCCGAGGAATTGGGCCTCATGCGTGAGAAGCAGATACTTCAGACCCTCAGTCTATTCCCTACCTGCCCCAGTGCCAAACACCCATGTCCACATCGATCTTGTATAAAATCTGGGACCCACCGCCAATTGTAATATTTTATCTTGTTTTGTTTTTACTTTATTTTTTATTTTCAGTGAGTTTTTGTTTGCAATTCTGGTCAGTCGCCGTAATAAAAATATTCATTCATTTTAAACTCTGTGGCAATTGGAACAACAGCAATAAACCAGTCCTGAAGTTTTAAGTGTGTAGGCAAAAAGTGTAAAACTGGGCCTCTCCATACCAGCTTATAGTCCTTTGGGGGGAGTCTGCCTTGGTTCTCAGGATGAGTCACTGATCTGCAGAAGACGACTGGTGAGTGTTCAGAGGCCCTCGCTCTCTACCCCGGACCCCAGAGCGGCAGCTAATATAGAGAATCCTGGATTACACGGGTCAGTGGTTAAAGTGCTTTCATCCAGGAGCAGTGACTCATGGAGAGAAGCAGCCCCAAACCTCAATTCTGCTTTAGAAACAGCTTCTGTCAGTTAACTCTGGGGTGTCTCTGCCGTTGGGAGCAATTAAGTTATTCAGAGGCCGAGCCGGACACGAGAAGAGAAACGCGCTCTGTTCAGGAGAGGGGACGGAGGGCTTCTGGCCTGCTGGCACTCGGGCATCGCTCCGTGCCCAGAGTTGGAACTTGCTGGCTTAGCAGCTCCAGCTCCCCTCCGTAATTATCGGGATGATGGCGCTGAAGAATCCCGATTTGGCCTGAGCGGAGCACAGCTGGCAGCGGGATGAATTCCTGAGCGTGGAGCAATTCAGCGGAAGCGGCTCTCGGGCTGAGCGACGCTAGACAGCTCAGGAACGCAGCCGCTGCCGAGCCGAGGCCAGGTTTACTTTAGCAACTGTGAAACATATCGGGCAAATCTAAACAAAGAGAGTTCGAGAAAAGTCTCCATTCTGTCTCTCTCCCGTCCAGTTCTTAATTTGGAAACCAAGAAGGCGTTAGACGTCCAGCCCGGGCCTCGAATCCCCAGGGGACGCAGGGGGCCATCGTTCTGCACGTGGCCAGAAGCTAACCCTTTCCTCAGAGTTGTCCGGGCTCCGAGATCTTTTTGACGGCCCCTCCCAAGTTCCAGATGCTTCGCGAAAAGCGGCCAAACTGAGGGCACCCCCTCTCCCCGCCACCCGAGGGCCACGCGCCAGCTCTGCCCGGTCTAGCGTCTTCCCGCAGCCCCCAGAGTGGGCGGTCTGGCCATCTGGATTTCTCGTGGCTGCCCCAGCTAGAAGGCCCCGGCTGGGCTGCCAGGTGCTATCAAGCCACCTTCTCCCACTTTCCAGCAGTTGCTCTGCTTCCCAGCGCCCATCGTCCCCAGGCGATGCCCCCAGAGATTGCTGTGGAACATCAGCAAAGCAACGTCGCTGGACCGGAGGAGCCCGAGAGCCGTCCGGTGTGTCTCTGGGAGCTCGGGGGAGCTGGTCTGCGGGAGGGCCACCGCCAGGCCAGTCCTCCGGGGGCCTGTAAAGGGAGTTTCCTCTGATGTCAGTGGAACAACCTTCGCCTTGTCTTGGGCGTCTGTATTCGGTTGGCTTCCCTTAATGAAAGAGGCTGGAATGAGACGCCCTTCGTGTGCCACCCGCGGCATCCACCGATGTTAATTTTAGAGAGCATCTTTTTCTTCCTTGCCCCTCTCCCCTCCCCCTCCCCGAAGCGCTGGCAAAAGGCACCAGCTCTAGCTGTGCGGGGGGGAGACGTCTTGGGGCCCCGCTCTTCTGGGATCACAGAGGTTAGTGAAATAAAGGGATCCCCAGGCTACCCAAAGGGCCTTTTTGCCCTCTCCCAAGGTGAAAAGCTGCCGGTTAAGGGAGGGGTCTGCCTTGGCTCCCGCTTCAGGATCTCCTTAATTGGCTGCTGCTCCGACCATTGAACCCACTCTCCTCCTTCCATAGAGGCCACCCATGTGTGTCTGAGAAGCCCATAGACCACAATCCCATTTCTGGGATTCACAGGTAGACTGCTCCCGAGGATGGAAGCTCAGCTCTGCTTTCCAAAACCTGATTTTGACCCCAACCTTGTCATATCCCAACAGAAATTCAACTTTTTTTTTCTTGCTGTAGTTTCTGGGAAGAAACAGCCCTCCATTGCTCAGTCCTTGTCCTGAGCCCCAGGAAGAACAGTAGAAAAATCCCGCTTTCCTGGGAATGCCTCCAGCCCCAGTGGCTTTGCATGGGCCAAATCCTGCCCCCTGCCGCCTCCCCTTCTCCTTCCCGAAAAGCATAACATATTCTCTAAACCCGCTCTAGCTTTTTTAAAAGCTCTGTAATCTGAGAGCTCTCCAACTCTTCTTGGCAGGAACAAATTATCAAATGGCAATTAAATCAACAGTCCAGACTCTGCGCAGGATCCCAGAGCCGCCCCCACTGCGCCCTCCCCCAAAGCCAGCTGCAGAATCTGGACACGCAACGGGGGTGTTTCATTCTATTTTATTTTAGGGGGCCTTTCCCTGCACATCCCCCCATCCCCCCCCCCCCCCCCCCC